CACGAACGTCTCCACCAGGTCCCAATTCGAATCCCAAGTCGGAAACACCTCGCTCAGCGACGTCGCCGCCGCCTGCAACCAGTCTCTCGAAAATGGATCGCCCTGCGCCCTCTGCACCACTAGCATGTCCTCGCAGAGCTTGCTCTTGAACAGCGAGTCCGTCGGAAACATCTCCACCTGCACGGCGTACCCGTCCATTTACGTGGCGGCTTTCCTCGCACCGACCGATATGGGCACCGCCGAGTGCTTGTTCTCGCTCAGAACCCTGGCGGAGGGATCCGGTAAGAAGAAAAAGAAGGTAATTTTGATTGTATTGGTTGTTTGCGGCGTCGGATTACTGATTGTGATCGGCGGCGTTTGGTTTTTGTGGCATAAATATAAAGACTTAAGGGCTAAGAAGAGGAAAAAAGATATTAGTGATAAAATTGAGCAGGGATTAGGTTCTGCTTTAGAGTCGATTAGTGGAAGTACTAATTTAATTAAGTTTAAATACGAAGAGATTAGTGCTGCAACTAAGAATTTCTCTACGGATAATATAATTGGGAGAGGAGGATATGGAAATGTGTACAAGGGAATTCTGGATGATGGTTCTGAAGTTGCATTGAAGAGGTTCAAGAACTGCTCGGCTGCTGGCGACACAATTTTCGCGCACGAGGTTGAGGTGATTGCGAGTGTTAGGCACGTCAATCTCGTTGCGTTGAGAGGTTATTGTATTGCCACTACTCCTTTGATGGGTCACCAGAGGATCATTGTGTGTGATTTGATGAAGAATGGAAGTCTCCACGACCATTTGTTTGGGTCGTTTGAGATCAAGCTTAGTTGGCCAATTCGTCAGAGGATTGCGCTGGGGATGGCGAGGGGATTGGCTTATTTGCATTACGGGGCTCAACCAACTATTATCCATAGGGACATCAAAGCTAATAACATACTCTTGGATGAGACATTCGAGGCCAAGGTAGCAGATTTTGGGCTCGCGAGGTTTACACCTGAGGGAATGACTCATTTGAGCACGAGGGTGGCTGGAACAATGGGTTATGTTGCTCCAGAGTATGCGTTGTATGGACAGTTGACGGATAAAAGTGATGTGTATAGTTTTGGTGTTGTGCTTCTTGAGCTTTTGAGTGGAAAGAAGGCGCTCCATGTGAGTAATGATAATCAGCCTTCACTTGTAACTGATTGGGCGTGGGAGTTGGTGAGGAAAGGAAGACCGCTAGATGTTATTGAAAATGATATGCCGGAGAAGGGTGCACCCGAAGTTCTAGAGAAGTATGTATTGATTGCCATTCTTTGTTCTCATCCGCAGTTGCATGCCAGGCCAACGATGGATCAGGCTGTGAAAATGTTGGAAACAGATATATTGGTTCCATCAATTCCAGAAAGACCAATTCCCATTGTGTCGGATATTGACGATATTGAAAGATACAGCAGCAGTGGTTCAATTGAGCTCTCTACTCCAGGTGGTTTTCAGACTTATAAATTCGAAAGTAACCTACCTTCTAACCCTAATGGAGACGGGGAAAGTTCCCATACCAGATAGAAGGGTTGTGACTTGTGAGTTAATTAACTCAAAGATGAAAGGAGTAGCGACTCTTTGTCTTTGACAGATTCCACTAACAGGTATGTTCACCCTGATTTGTTTGTTGGCGCAGATTGTGTGGTTTTGTGATGAAATTTCTCACTGTAAATGTGAAATAGATGTATGATTAAAGCTGATCCTTTGTTACTTGATCCCCTAGAAGATAGAAAATATGGAAGCTTGGTCAATATCACACTTAAGTTATTGAAGTGTAAGTATCTGCAAATCCTAAAGATGTCAACTTCGTCCTCACATCGTAGGGCCACAGTTACCTAACTTGACTTAAATGTTATCCTTTAACTACGAATTTTCGATGTTCTATTCGTATACGGTGGATGCATACATGCTAAGATGTTTAATTACTAGCGGCCATTGTAAACTGGTTGGTATAATGGTATTGGTATACATGTGCGATTTGGGTATTTCACGAGTCATGTCTTTCCACGGAGCAATTCTTACGTCCGGCTGCCTGCATACGTCCCGACCCCCGTCCCGTCTCTTGTAATGGTGATTCAATGTGCGGGCGGACGGACATAATGAGAATTTCTCCGTTTCCATAATATTCGTCTAATTTTGATAGAGTTGGCACTGGGGTCTCAAAGCTGTCAATGCCTTATAAAATTCTGGGAGGTAGATCTCTGTCTCTGTATATGCAAGTTGTTTTCAAACATAGGAGTATGATTAGTCTGCTTCACATGTCAAATATCTTCAAGCTTTGCTCACCCGCACATTTTCTTAAGTTAAATCTCAACTGTTCCCTTGTGAGGAAAATGTGCGGGGGAGAATTTTCACTAGAGAGATTATATTCACACACCCTAAATTTCTCTCACACCTTTTTAATTTTCTACGCACTACTAACACTTGATAGAAAAATATTAAAAAATTAGGATATTTTTTTTATTAACATCCCACATGTTGAATACACCCCATTTAAAAATGTAATACTAAACAACTAATATGAAATGATAGCTGCTCTTACTCACAAACACGTTGATGAAAAAACATATTTTGATGAACGGAATAAAAAATCGAGTTTTGCTCCTCGTTCATTCGTTGGTTTTCACATTCAAGAAATTATTTAAATAATAGAATAAAAATTTGACTTTTTGCAAAGCCTGGCTCTAATTGGAATCCAAGAAATAGGAAGAAAATTAGAGAATGTTGTAAAATTTTAAGATGTGATTAAATGTAATATACTTGTGGTTGTTTGATGATGAAGAAATTCAATGTTTTTTTGGCTGGTTGGAACTGACATGACCTTATAAGAACAGTTTATACCATTTGTCCATCAGGCTCTTTAGAATCCAATGTGATTGTTCAAGAAAATTTGACGGATGTTTATAAATCAAACGGCAAGAGGGAGATTTTATACAACAATTTAATTCATCTTTCTTGTCTTTAAAATGTGGATTATTCTTTTGTTTGAAAGAGATGAAGAGTTTGATGTGGTTAATTAGTTAAGGATTGTGGGGTGTGAGATGTGAGGTGTGGGGTGTATGAGATGTGAGGTGTGAGGTGTGAGAGTAGTATTGGAAAATACGTGGAGTGTGTTAAGAAAAATTTTAATTTAAAAAGTGAATGTGGGGTGTAATCAACAAAATGTGGGATGTTAATAAAACAAGTCAAAAATTAAAAGGGTATGAGAGAAGTAATTTAAGGAGTGTGAATATAATTTCCCCTTCCACTATCGACCAAATTTCCTGTTTAGAGATTCTTTTCAAGTTTCAAGTAGTGAACTAATTGGACTGAAGACTGCAAATACTAGTTTATCTCGATGGAAGTGATTTTTAGATGCTAACTTACTCTCGCTACACGCCTCTGCTTATTTGTAGTCTTTAAATTGAATCAATAAAAAAAAAAAAAATCAATAGACATAAATAAACATGTGCAGAAAACGGATATCATTTCTCTATCTTAATTACAGGGAATCTGGGTTTTTTTTTTGGCCATCGTGATCATACATCTTTAAATATGCATAGATCTACAAATCTGTCTTTCATTTGATTTTGTGTTCCTATCTTAATTTCTGGGTTACAGACAAATGGAGTCCTGTTGCAACGTGGGTGTCTGATCCCTACATCCGAACTACCACACTTAGAATAGCTGCAATACCCGACGTTTCAACTCCGTCGACCACTAAATTATAAGTTTATAACACGTAGATAAATAACACCGTCACCGCCATCACCGCCATCACCGCACGAGGATTAATCTGACCAGAAATAGGAAAGTTACAATTCAAGGTGCAAGGCTGTAAGCCTGAAAAGATCCTTATGTTTTTGTCTATTTCTGTCTAAGGTGAATCCGATAAAATTAACTCGATTAAGATCTCGTAGTTGATAATTTTTTTTAATATAATTAGTTTAATTTCATTAATTAATTATTTTCATCTTTATTTTTGTTCAAAGAGAGCCAAAAAGGAAGCTCAAAGAAAGGTGAATTTTTTCTGCAAAGAGTGGTTGTTTAGTGATTGAGAGCTTGTTTGAAAGTGTTTTTAAAATGATTGAAAGAATTTTTAGAGAAAATGTTTTGGGTTTCAAAAGCATAAATGTTTTCTGCAAGAAATACCAGTCATGTGATTCTTTTTGGAAGCAATTTAAGTTTTTTTTTTTTTTTTAGAATTTACTTGCATTTTTAATAAGATTTGTTCCAAAAATATTTTAATCAAAAGCGTTTTCAGATATTTTGAAACATTTCTAAACGAATTATGAAATTTTGTGCTAAAAAGTGATATTATCGTCGGTATACTTCGTTACCAAAAAGATAAAAATTTAAAATTCCCTAGTAAATAATTCATCTCAAGGGAAAAAGGAAAAAAAAATACAAATCCACTGGGATTTATTGGAATTTTTTTTTCCGGAAATGGCCATTAATCGGACCACAAAATTAATTAATTTCGAAGTAAAAAAGAAAGAAAATTAACAGATTGTATGAACCTATACAAGCAGCCAGACCAGACTTACTTCTTATGTTCTCTGTTTATCTCATCATCCATCTCATATTCTTCCGTGTTTATGTCGAGTCCGAAACATGTTTTCATATTCATTTTCTTCTGCTCGAGCGATATTTTAATCTAACCTAAACAACAAAAAACAGATTTAAACTTGAACGCAGCCAGAGAAGTGAACACACTGCTTTATCGAACTTGGCTAGACCAAAGCCTGCGTGTTCTCGTAGACACGACAAAGATTTGTTTTGATACGGCGTGTTTATTATATTCCTTTATTTAACTGATGCAGCAGCGATTTTGGCTGTCTGCATTGTCTGATATGCAATTGGTAGCAAAGCTTTGAGCAAGTCCATTTGTAACTGCTTGGAACACCAGCAAAGCACTGTCAGTATGAAGCAGTGCCTAACTTTTAGAACTTTGAAATATATAATTATCTATTACATATGTATATATATATTATGTAAATAATATGTATACTTGTAGAAAAAGTTTACATCCCTTTCTGGCATGTTGCAATCTCTATGTCTCTACCTATAAGAAGAAAGAGAATTTTCATGGTTTCCATAATTTCATAGTTTCTGCTCACACTTCCCATCTCTTTGAATCTTGTTCTCTTTGCCATTTATACAAGTTCATCGAGGCGGTTCGAGTTGGAGTTTTGCCAGGGGCCTTGTTCTTAAACTCCCTTTATATAATCATCCTGGCAGGCATGGGCATTAAGGAGGATGTGGAGAGTGATGTGCAGGAGGGAGTAAGAGTGCCACTCATGGCGGAAGGAGACGAAGCAGCTGGTGGAAGCGGCGGAGGGAATCTATGGATGGTTTATCTCAGCACATTTGTTGCAGTTTGTGGCTCTTATGAATTCGGATGCTGTGTAAGTGATTGTTTTGCATTTTTGTTTATCTTTTTGTTGAGATTTTAGAGAGACGGACTAACTGTTCACTTGGAAAATTGTGATGTTTAGATAGTTTATTTGACGCTCTTGTATCGCTTTCAGGTCGGTTATTCTTCGCCTACTCAGTCTGCAATCCGGGAAGATCTCAGTTTATCATTATCAGAGGTATGGAAGTGATTGGAACATCTATAACTGGTCCAAGCTGTTTTGTTGGATGTGTAAACTTATGAGTAGAAATCTGTATCTGTTCCCTACATCGGTGATGCCATGGTGGCAGTTTGATATCCCAAGCCAATGAACTTCCATGTGCTATATCTTTTTCATGTGGCAATTGCGTTACTGCCTTGGGATACAATCACCATGGCGTCCCAAGGGCTAGTTTCTCTCATGACTGAGGGTTTTACATTGTATGCCAAGCCATTGCTTTTGATCTGAGGCACTACTGGCAAAGCAAACCTACATGGCGCGCGTGAAAAGTTTCAAATTCAAGAAACAAAGCTTAAAAACTAACTCCTGATATGATTTAGAATTTTAGAGAGTTGACAGTACAACGGGAGAATGTTTTCGAAGCCATTTGAGTATATGCTTTCACAAATTTTCTTTCAATTAACTTGCTGGTTTTTCCTTTGTATGCAGTATTCAGTGTTTGGCTCCATTTTGACATTTGGTGCAATGATAGGAGCTATCACTATTGGGCCAATCACCGATTTTCTTGGCCGAAAAGGGGTATGATTCAGAATTCGTGTCCAGAACTTTTAGCACTATACTTATTCTGTTTTGATTGGTATTTGCTATCTAACGATATCTTCGCTGTGAAATTGTACGCAGGCCTTGAGAGTGTCTTGTGGTTTCTGTGTTGCAGGTTGGCTTGCTATTTACTTCTCCAAGGTTTGTCTAATTTCACACTTGAATTTCTCTGTGCTTTTAGATACTAGGCAAATGTTCTCCTCTTGACATTTGAGCTTATTCGTGTTCACCATCTTTTCTCTGTTGAAGGGCGCTTGGTTGTTGGACATTGGGAGACTGCTAACAGGGTATGGAATGGGAGCCTTTTCTTACGTGGTGCGTTATTACCCTCCTCTATAACTTGAGTATTATGTTCCTGACAAGTTATTAACCAAGTCTGATGTGCTATTGGATGTATGATAATTAAGGTACCTATTTTCGTAGCTGAAATTGCACCCAAAAACCTTCGAGGAAGATTGACTGCTGCAAATCAGGTAAATACGTAGCAAGAAATGCGATTCTTGAAGCTAATTAACAATATTTTGTTTGTTTGTTTGGATCCTATATAACCTTTTCATTTGCTTATCGTATAGTTAATGATCGTAACTGGAGTGTCTGTTTCCTTCATAATCGGGGTAGTAGTAAGTTGGCGGACATTAGCATTAATTGGTAAGTTTATTTTTTTTGACAAACTCTGCTGAATTTGAAAACACTGTGTTTTCGAATACAGTGGCAGAGAGGGCTCATTTGTGTGGTGATTGCAGGACTTATTCCCTGCGCTGTGACAATTTTTGGTCTCTTTTTCATTCCCGAGTCTCCAAGATGGTTGGTAAGAATTTCACTTCTGTTTCGTATTTACCTAAGTTAGCCAGCATTAAACACAATGAAGACATCAATTACAGCTTCATCATCAATGCAGGCAAAGACAGGACGCCAGAGAGATTTTGAAGCCGCACTGCAGAAACTGCGTGGAAAAGATGCTGACATATCTCATGAAGCAGCAGAAATCCACGATTATATTGTAACCCTCGACTCGCTCCCTAAAGCCAAATTGCTGGATTTGTTTCAAAGGAGATACTGGCGCTCACTCATTGTAATAATTTCTCTCCACGCCGCTTGTACTGACAGTTTTGTTTTCTTTCTCTTCTAGTTAAACTTTTCTTTGCTAATAGCTTTTGTTTGATCAGATTGGAATTGGGCTGATGGTCTGTCAACAACTGGGTGGAATCAACGGAGTCTGTTTCTATGTCAGCGATATTTTTGAACAAGCAGGTAAAGACCCCGCTTTAATTTATGTTTTCGGTATTTAAAGCAGATAATCTTGTTCTACAATTGAAATGTAAACGTTCTATGTCTCAGGATTTTCCTCCAGCATTGGAACTATAATCTATGCTATTCTTCAGGTTCGACAGTCCTACCATGACAGCTCTTGGAATCTATTAATTTCTCAACTGAAAGCATCCTGACTACAGTTCTGCTTTACAGGTTATAGTTACCGGCATTGCTGCAGGCGTGATGGATAAAGCCGGACGAAAGCCTCTAATTTTGGTAAACTAGAGTGCACAGCTTTAGCTCTAAGAATGATCCAAGACAAATTCCAATTCGTATCAGAAGGTTTAACTTTTTCCTCTCAATTCTAGGTCTCTGCATCCGGGTTGGTGCTTGGCTCTCTCCTGACAGCGGTTTCATTCTTTCTGAAGGTAATCCTCAAATGTTAACATGTTTCGGTTTAAGGTTATCCAACAGTAGTCTGACAAGAGATCGCTCTTTGTGAACCAGGTTCATGAAGTAGCACTCGACGCAGTTCCCATACTTGCTGTAACCGGCATACTGGTAATTCATTAGCTTTGTGGTGACATATTTCCCTCGCGCATCTCTCTATTGAAATCAAGTTTTTGTTTCTTCTCCTTGAAATTTTTAACCATTCGTTTATGGATTCAGGTCTACATAGGAGCCTTTTCGATAGGAATGGGAGCAGTTCCTTGGGTTGTGATGTCTGAGGTATAGAAAATGCGTACTAATTACTCATTTATCCGTCCATGGTTGCCTTGATCATGTCACCTATCTAAACAAACTTTCCGTCTGCTGCAGATATTCCCGATAAATATTAAAGGGCAGGCTGGAAGCTTAGCAACGCTAGTGAATTGGTTTGGCGCATGGTTGTGTTCCTACACGTTCAACTATCTTATGAGTTGGAGCTCCTACGGTAACTACATTTTCCTTTCATGTTATAGAAGCTAACTGTTCTGAAAGCCATGTCCATGCTTAAAGGGTTGCAATTTGATAAGAGCTGATAATTTACGCGTGTGCGATTTTCAGGTACTTTCATTCTATACGCTGGAATCAACAGTCTGGCTATTTTGTTCGTGGTGTCGTTGGTGCCTGAAACAAAGGGGAAAACACTGGAACAGATCCAAGGAGCCATGAACAAATAGAACCGAAGGAAGAAATGAAGAGCATTCTTTTTAGAAGTTAAATCCTCATCGAAAATTTGGGCAGCTCAGTTCAGAAAGATGGAAAATCTTTGAAGATGCCTCAATTTAAAACCACAAAGTTGTTGTATACTGCTATTTTGACGATGATTAATTGAGTTGATTTATGCTATGAATAAATAGAAAAAAATAATAATTATATGAACCTATCGAGAGCATATCTTATCGAAGGATGGAAGTCTAGCATAAGGGCTTAAAATATCCTTAGCCTCTCCACTCATTATCTATTATTCGTTTTCGGGAAATAATCGCATTCTAACACACTATCAGAGCAACAACCTATACATTCAAGTGTCGTGCCCAACAGCCCTACGCACTTCCACATCTCGCTGAAAAATTGTCCACGTGTGACATCCAAAAAGACGACAATGCCTTGTTAAGGAGAAATTTTTCAGTGTACCAGGAACACATCCCGACACACAAGTATCATAATATAAATGGTTGGAAAAGTTTTTTGTTTAAGAATCCAATCACTTATATTATGACAGTGGGTGCCCGGTACACCAGGCATCTCTCCTTGTCAAGTTTATAACTACATGACCTCAAGATTTGCTCACTTTTAGCTCTTTGTTGGACACTTCAAAACAAGAAGGGCACTGTCAGTAAGAAGCAATCTAAACAGATCAAACTTTTACAAGTTCAGAAAAATAAATTTACAAGATGTTTTTGGATAAAGATTTTCTTTTCTGGTTTTCATTATTTGATATTTCTTGCTTACAAAACCCATCGCTTTGAATCGTTTTCTCTTTGCCATTTTAAACAAGTTCATCGCGACGTTTCGAGTCTATATAATCCAGGCAGGCGGACACGGCCGTCAAAGAGGATGTAAGGAGGGATGTGCAGGAGGAGGGAGTAAGAGAGCCACTCAAGAGGGTGGTGGTAAATAAAATGGACGGTGGAGATGGTAGCAGCAGAGGGGTCAAAGCGGCAGAGGGGATTGCACTTTTGGTTACGTCACTTTCACGTGACAGCCAGCACGCCTTGATTCCGGTTGGGGTGTGTCAGCAATCATAACTACCGACTCAATTCGGAGGTGAAATGAATAGATTGAATGATGATTTATATGCGAATTTGCAAAACGACTAAAAACCACCCACGTTTTTTGTGAAAAATACAAAATTTTTATTTTCTTGAAATTTTTCATGAGCATTAAGAAAAACTTTATAAGGCATTTGGAAGCAATTTCACGGTTTACAGAGCAATTAATGTATTTTTAGTAGAATAATTAAGCCATAAACTAAAAAATAAGTGAAAAATATAGTAATGACTAACGAGGCACAAAACATTGTCAATGGGGCTCTACTGTCAAGAATACCAATGGAAAGTCTTACATTAATTTTCAAAACTTCACGGTAAGGCGAATGTGAAAATAAATAGATTGAACGATGACTTATGTACGAATTTGTAGGACCGACTAAAAATCATGAGGGTTAACCGACGTTTGTTTGTCAAAAATGCAAATTTCTTACTTGGAAGGTGATGTATGATTTACTGAACAACAAATGTATATTTAGTGGATTATTTACGTCAAAAAGTAAACAAATAAGTGAAAAATATAATAGTGAGGACCAAAACATTGTCAAATGGGGTTCTACCCTCAAGAATCTCAATAGAAAGTCTTACTTTAATTTTCAAAACTTCAAGGTGAGGTGAAGGTGAAAATAAATAGATTAAATGATGATTTATTTACGAATTTGCAAAACCGACTAAAAACCGTGAGTGTTAACCCATGTTTTTTTTGTGAAAAATGCAAATTTTTTATTTTCTTGAAATATTTCTTGTGAACATTAAGGAAATCATTATAAGGTATTTGAAAGCGATTTTACGGTTTGTAGAGCAATTAATGTATTTAGTAAAATATTTAAGCCGAAAACTAAAAAAATAAGTGCAAAATATAGTAGCGAGGCCCAAAATCATGTCAAAATGGCGTTCCACCCTCAAGAATGTCAACGAAAAGTCTTACACTAATTTTCAAAACTTCACAGTGAGGTGAAGCTGAAAATAATAGATTGAACGATGATTTTAGTACGAATCTTTAAAACCGACTAAAAACCGTGAGTTTACACCCATGTTTTTTGTGAAAAGTGTGATTTTTTTTTTCGTGAAATATTTTCCGCGAGCGTACCTTATAAGGCGTTTGAAGCAGTTTTACGATTTATTGAGCAACAAATGTATATTTAATAGAATATTTAACTAACAAAGTAAGTGAAAAATATAGTAGGGAGGCCCAAAACATTATAAAAAAGGGGTATCACCCTCAAGAATACCAACGGAAAGTCTTACATTAATTTTCAAAACTTCATGGTGATCGGCGAAAGTGAATAAATAGATTGAGCGATGATTTATGTACGAATTTGCAAAACCAACTAAAAACCATGAGTGTTAACCCACATTTTTTTTTCTCAAAAATACAAATATTTTTATTTTTGAAAAATATTTTTTCATGAGCATAAAGAAAAACTTTATAAGGTATCTGGAAGCAGATTTACAATTTATTGACTAATAAATGTATATTTAGTAGATTATTTAAGTCGAAAACTAATAAAATAAGTGAAAAATATAATAGTGAGGCCCAAAACATTGTCAAATCGGGTTCCACCCTCAAAAATCTCACAGGAAAGGCTTATCTTAATTTTCAAAACTTCACGATGAGGCGAAGATGAAAATAAATAGATTGAACGGTGATTTATGTATAGTTGGGCAAGGATGGGTAGCATGGTACTGATCTTTCCCTATTCCAATTTATTTATTTATTTGAGTAATCACTATTAAATTCAATATCTTTAAATTTAGGTTTTAAATTGTTGGTTACAAATGTTTAACTATGAATTATAATAGATTTTGCACAAAAAAATATATTTTGAAGTACATAAATATGATAGTATGTTGTTATGGTAAGAGAAATAAAAGAAAAATTAACAAAAATAAATAATAATAAAAACTAAAAAAGAAAAAAATTGAAAAGAGAGGATCGGTAGTATGAGAGCGACTAATAAGGGTAGTATAGCTACTTTTCTTAGCGACTAATTGTCTGAACAATCAGTAGCAAAGTACCAACTAATAAGAGGTTCTAAAGCTACAATTGTACCGACCAATCCTTTTTACAATCAGTATGAATGTAGCGATCGTATCATTTTCTATTTTATTTAATTATTTTATGTATTTTTCTTTTTCCATTGGATTTTTTTTCCTTCCTACCTTACTTTATTTAGATTCAAATACCTTTAGATTTATATTTATATATATCCTTGTTGTTTACTGTGTTTTGACATGGATTATAAGTAAGTTTTTAACTGCAAATACGTTTTGTAGAACATGAAGTGATAGTTTGGTGTTATGGTAAGAAAAAAACATAAAATAAATGAAATCATGTAATGGATATCCCTGTATAATTGGGATTCCTATTTCCAATGTCATAAGAACTTGTATAACTATATATCACCCCCTATGTGAGGAGAGATTTTTCAGTGCGATCGTCAAACGAGAGGGTACACCACGTGTCTGTATATAAATGGTGGGTTATGTGTGTTAAAATGTTAATAACTTAAAAAATCACATTTTCCACCATTTGTATAAAAACACGTGGTGTACCTATCCGTGTTCCCGTTACAACAAAAAATTTCTCCTATGTGAGAAGAATAAAGCAGAACACCTTAAACCCTAGAATTACAATTTTATCTTGGTATCAGGGTCAAGGTTCGAGCCCCTGCAAGCTAATGAGCTTGTTACCAAGAAGGAAACAAGTCAGAACTCTTAACAAAGAGCCGGCCTTTGAGTTATATTGAAAACAAGTCTAGACTCTTAACATAGAGCCAACCTCTAAGTTTCAATTGCCGATGTGTGGATCTCCACGTGTGAACCACTAAATGGGGTTACACGTGAGGTGGAGTGTTGGAATCTCACATGCAAAAGAAAATAATGGGTTTTAATATGAGTACCCTACTCTAACTAATATTGAGACCTTTTGTGGTATAACCCCACACTTGACGGATTAGGCAGGTGGTAAATTTGGGGACAGTATTGGTGTCGTTAGAGTGGGGCCCCCCTTAAGCCCGTCGATCTAAAAAATTTCAACATGGTATTTGAAAGGTGCACCTGGAAAATGGTTGATTTTCAGGAAACATGGGCATATGGAGATAAAAGGATATACATATACTAATTAAGCTAGGAATATTACTGATAGACGCTATACGTTAGGCTACTTCACTTTTGTAGTAGGAAATCTTGTAACTTGGAGAAGCAAAAAACAAAACATGGTAGCTAGGTCCACGGCAGAGGCAGAGTATTAGGGTATGGCGCATGGGATTTGCGAATTATTGTAGCTGAGGATTCTTCTCACAGAAATAGGATTCAAATCACAGGGAGCTATGTCATTGTAATGCGATAATTAAGCTACAAGAGAGATAGCTAATAATCCGGTTCAACATGATCGCACAAAACATGTTGAAGTGGATAGACATTTTATCAAGAAAAAGTTAGATACCAGATTGATTGACATTCCATATGTGAGGTATGAATAACAGTTAGTTGATGTACTGACTCATGCAATATCAGCGAGAGTGTTTTGAGACTTACTTGACAAGTTGGGCCTAGAAGATATCTCCGCACCAACTTGAAGGGGAGTGTTGGCATGAGTTAACTTTGAGATTGAGGAATATAGATATATTTTGGGTATGAAATCATGTAATGGATATCCCTGTATAATTGGGATTCCTATTTCCTATGTCATAGGAACTTGTATAACTATATATCACCCTCTACGTGAGAAGAATAAAGCAGAACACTTTAAACCCTAGAATTACAATTTTATCTAGAAGTTATTTTATATAAGAATGGTAGTGGTAGGCTAGTAGGTATAGGAGCCTAGGATCGATTTTGTGCGGTCATGCTTCTGCACAGTGTTCTAAAAATCACTCTAGGCGGCCGCCTAGTCAGCACCTAGGCGTTCGACGGTGATCTCCCGATGCGATTTGGAGGAAATCGTTACAAGGTTCTAAAAATTAAGCAATTTCCCGATGCATTAGGCTGATGGATCGTGGCTATTTGAAAACTAAGCAATCATATGATAAATTGATTAACCGAAACAATTGTACTTATATGGTAATGGCATATATAATTGATGCATATATGATCATGAGAAAGGATAGAAAGCTAGGTA